CGAGAGCTGCAGATCGTTGGCCAGGTTCACTGAAACAAATTAGAATTCAAAACCCTGATTCGGAAAGGCTCGTGTAATTCTCTTCTCACTGTGCCGTGCGGGCCGTGTATACGTATACAGGCAGTGTCTAAACGTACTGTCCTGCTGACGTCATAAGTCATCGACCCGCAGTGTTAAACAGCTGATGTGCTCGTCGACGCTGGCTGGGAATCTTGTTTACTTCGCGAGCTCGCGCTAGACGACTTAGCATACCGCTTGCCGCGCGCCCCGCTCGGATTCCCATTTTTCGAAATCCCAGTTGAATTCGTCGATCCGAAATGAAGCAGGGTATGATGACGCCCGCTGCATTTACTGCAATTCAGGTTACTTTTACACTGCGTCACAGTGTGGTCCGGTGACAAGCATACTATGCAATGCGCATTTGCTTTGGCAAATTCAAAACGTTTTTGTTCCGTCTGGTGAAGAAAGTCATCGCACTGTCTCAAAGTGTGCGATCCGGAACAAAATTTACAGCTCTGCTGACTGGAAATAGGCTCGACCTCAGTGGCATGCGAGTAAGACCGAATCTTTTGCGAACGTTCCGAAGGTCGTTCACGTCGCACTTCGGATTTCTTCTCGCCGCTGTTCTTCAGGCGCCCTACTGAACGTAGTGCATTCGCCTTCACTTCGAGGAAATGGAATAACGTGTCAAGGTCGGGATATCCCTCCGTTCCTTGCAGTGATTCTTCCCATTTTTGTAGTAACTGTTCATCGAATTTGTCGGTAATCAACACAACCAACCATAAGTCCCAATAATCGACCGTTTTATTCCAACGGCGAAGAGCTTGTAAAGCTTGCGGGATATCGATTGTTACTTTTTCGATGCTTTCCAGATCGTTGCCTCTTATCGTTTTCAGGCGAAGAATCGGAGTCATCAGCGATTTGATAATTACTCGCTCTTGCGCGAAGCGTTTTTCCAACGCTTCCCAAGCGACTTGGAAATTGGCATTGCAGATTTCCAAGTTGGCGATCGTTCGCAGTGCTACACCCTCCAACGCGGAGTGTAGGTACTGGAGTCGCGGAGCGTCCGATAACTTCGGATGGTTGATTACTAACGACGTGAAGAGATCACGGAAATTCAACCACGTTGCGGGATCGCCGCTACACCGCGGGATTTTAATTTCCGGCAAGCGTTGCGCGTGCTCTCTCACGTTATCGTTAGCTTGTTGAGGCTGGTGCTGCGCTACAGCTGCTGGACCTGCCGAGGACGATTTCAGTTTATCCATCTCTTCGTAAATGAATTCCCTCGTCTCGGCCACCATTTCCTCGAGTTCTTCTATAAACTCTGACTGGAAGTATTCGATATTCGCTCTTTGTGCCAATTCGACTGCTCGAACTAGGCAGTCGTGGCGAGCTTGAGCCGCTTCCCAGTTTATGTTGACCTCGTTCAGCCGTGCCTGCAACCTCGGCACACTGTAGTTGTTCCTTCCTTTCTTCTTGATGTTGGTCACCGTGTTCCATAAGCTTTTGCATTTTCGCTTATGCTCCTCCAGGAACATTTCGAGACGTGCATCTTCAACCCAGATGCCGTCCGTCTTTCCGGTGACCGACTGCTCGTCGTCAGATACACCCCGATCATCCGACATCATGCAGTCCTCAGTTTTCCTGCTGATTCTTTAACACAAACGCTTTAACCGCGTATCCGTTCTCCGGTACGGAATTAAAACCGTAATTATATCCGGCTCGAAGGACCTTTTGTTAGGGATAGGTGGCCCTAACGGGGTTCGGCCGGGAGAACGGGTGTTCGAAATAACGGAATCAGCAATTGAGCAAATAAGAACCTGGTTTATTGAAAATATCTTTTCCTACAGGATCTCTATGCGTCCGGGGTAGCCGGGAATTGACCGCGTCCGGCGGGCCGTCCTCGAGTCCTCCGTTTTACTCGCTTTAGTCTAGCGGCGGCGCCGACTTCCTCGATCTTGCCGCCTGCTGTCGCGATCGCTGTGAAAAGACAAAGAAATAAATATGGGCTCACGGCAATGTTCGAGCCGTACGTTGAATCAACTCAGCAGCGTGCTAAGAGTCGACTGTATGTTTCGGAGGCTTTCCGCACTCCGCTTCGGTCTTTCGAATTACTCCGAAAAGGGACCGGAACCGTATATGTTGATTTTTCAACGAACGGTGTTCTGCTGCTATTGCTCACCTCCTCGTTGCACTTTGTAAGAGTGGAGGCCTCTGTAGGACCTCAAGTCCCAGCGCTAGACGGTACCGAATTCTATCGGCCGGGCTGAGACCCGTTGAGTGATGAGCTGCAGCAGAAATTGCAGGATTACCTGACTCAATCACGTCCCGTATTCGGAAGCTACGCGAATATGGGGGCTGCTCCTTCACGAATGCCTTATAATTGGACCACAGGAAACAGCCGTCGATCGAACATTCGCGGACACCCGAATTCACTCAGTATATCCTTCGCCGTGCAGATCGCACTCGCACGGTGCTGTATTTACCAACGCTGGAGGCTGCAGTGTATTCTACACTAAAATGCTGTGCTCTCCAGCGAACGTCCGACGCGTAGTCCACCAGGCAGGTCACACTCGTAATGGTGATGTATTCACCAGCACTTAGGTTCCGCACGGTGGAATACTCGACACGGGAACTCGATTCGGTATTACTCGTCGATCGAGTTCAAACTTTGGCACTCTTAACTCCGACACGTGAGACAAACGCTGATTATTTTTAACGTTTTGATTCGATACCCTCAACACGGGAATACTCGAGATCGAAACTGAACCGACTCCGAAACTCGAAAAGGAATTAATCGCGCTGCACTTCTAATCACGGGAGAAAACCGATTCGCGGAACTCCTCGTTCTCAAAAATGCCGAAACAGGAATGATTGATAAGCAATCCTCTGTCATGGAAACAGTCAGTACGCGGAACATTTAAATCCGCGGAAACCTCGAAACGGAATCACTCGTGACGAACTCCTCGATCACGGAAACTTCACAAAGAAATGATCGTCTTGCCGAAAGCGGCCGTTACCTCGGTCGTCGCGAGGTGGGAATTGCGAGGTATCGCTATCTCGCTCGCGCTCAGGTGACGCGCGTGTCTCCGTACTCCGTCGCGCTCTGCCCGATTCGAACTTTTTCCGATCGCGGAATCTAAACATCGCGACCGTTAAAACGACCGAGCCGGCAAGAAACTCNATAAGCTAAGATTGTACAGCATGCCAAATAGCATTAACGATACTCACTTCGACAGAATTCTGTAAATGCAAACGTAAATATTGTGGTACGCAAGTGGGACAAAATGATAGCACATGCACATAAAAAGTTTGAATACTAACAAATTAGTAAATGAGATTTTGAAATTAATATTTTGTAGCACCTCCTGTGGACTTAATGACAGCAATCATTCGGTTAGGTAAAGATTTATACAATTTTTGTATACTTTTCTTTGTTAAGTTCTTCCACTCCTCTTGAATACACTGCTTCAAATCAATTACTGTTTTAAATTGTCTACCATTTGTGTACACTACCCTGGCAAGATTCCCCGAACAATTTTCAACAATGTTGAGTTCGAGAGATCTTGATGGCCAGTCTAAAATTCGAATCTTCTTTAAGGAAAAGTATGTTTTCACTGTCTTTGCGGTGTGAACTGCAGCGTTGTCATGCTGGAAAATGAATTTACCTCCAGCAATTCTTATGGCGTATGCGTTTATTTCTTTTCAATCATTTCTAAATACTTCGTGTTAATTAATTTTCCATTAACAAAGATCATGTCCATTTTCCCGTGATAACCTATACGGGACCAAATCATGACATCGCCACCTCCCATTTATCGACGACTCAGAATTTGTTATTCCTTTCTTAGATCATGATAATAATAATTTAGGCCATCAGGTCCATCCAAATTAAATGTCTTTTCGTTAAATTCGTTAAATCATTAAGACTAGTAATACCAATAGACCATACCCAAGACTAGTAATAACCATGATGTAAGGAAACAAGGTGTGTTCTAGCGCATCCCGATTATTAGCTAATTATATCAGAGATGAAAAGGGAGATTGCTCATTTCTTTGTTCGAAAGTGGACACGGCTCACTACCGCACCCTAGTGTCAATGTCCATTATTTAAGGGGAAATAGACGTAGTTTAGAAGGGATTGTGCACTACTCCCCTCCAGAAGTGGACACGCCGAAGAGAGCTGAAAATATACGTATAAGATTTGCCATGCTCGTGCCTAGGGTATTCGTCTACAAGCGCTCCATCTCGCGGCCGGCTTCGTGCATCTCCTAAAAGAAGGGGCGCGTGTCGAGTGACGCAGTACGTGCGTGTGTGCGTGCTGACTGTCAGGCAAGCGAATTCTAAATTCACTCCTCGAGGCTCGGAATCTTCGACGCTTCGAGACTCGGAGTCTTCGAGGCTCCGTGTGTTCGAAACCCAGACAATCCACTCTTTTTTTCTTTGTTGTTTATTCATCTGAAAAAATTCCAACACGTCCGTAGCATAACTGGACACATCTGAGAATTATTTCAGATTTTTTTGTTACAAAATGTAACCGTGAAAAATAAGAAGGTGCTAAACATATTTTTGTTCACATAGAAATCGTTCGGATACACTGTCCATATTTTTATGATAGATTCTTATTGCCGCAAGAATTGTTCATGAATTTTTTCAGATTTTTAGGTTTGGTGCGTCAATGCGAAAAAAATCAAAAACTATGTACGTCTCATGTTGAAGTACGTAAATGAAAGACGCGCTTCCAGCAGCGGCAACAGCGAAGGGGTGATGACACGAGGTCAGCGATTGCTACGTATTTTTTTGACGTAGGCTCGCGTTCTGTCATGACACTTACAAAGGACAACAATTTACAAAGGCAATAAAATTTGAAGGGCAAGGAAGCAGCTGCTCCGGCTACCTGCCTGCCGCTCTCGGCCGGTTCAAAAGGGGCGCAGTGCATAGCTCATTATCTTAATGAGTTTTACTTCAAATGACCTGAGGTTTTGGGAAAATATTTCTAAGAAGTTGTATTTTTATATGAAAAATTCTCAGAAAAATTGATTTTTCAATGTGATTATCCCATACCCACCTTAAACAATATTTTTAAATTGTTTATAAATATTTTAACAATTAGCAGGCAATATTCCTTTCATAACGGTCCATTGCTTTGATC